GAGAGAGAGACAGAGACAGAGAAAGACAGAGAGAGCTTTAGGCTCCTTATAACACACAGACTGTGTTTATGAATATATATGACCATTAATATATACTGTATGTGTCTGCAGTCTTAACTCCTCCCACCTAAGAGGTGAGGACGAAGGAATCAAACCGCTGCTGGCTGCACAAATATTAATCTACTAATGAGCACTGATTATAAATCTACTGTCACTGTTATTTCATTCTCTGAGCAGAATTCAGAAAGAATAATAAAACCTATTTATACACTGCGAGGCACAAAAACTGTGAAACATTAAGGTTATTACAGTCCTGCAGATATTTTATATTGCTTTCATTAGAATAGGTTATTTACATACATGTAGTTGGTTGTTACCTGGAAAGGTACTGCCCTGACGACGGAACCTCAAGTTTGTTGGGTTTGTCGTAGCAGTTCACCATATTCTGGATCAGAGCCAGGTCTGGTCTCACCACGGTTGCTGCGGCGACGGCCCTGGTGACGAGCTGCAGGGCGTCTCTGACGTAGAACTCTAGAGGTTTCCTCTCCACCTCTCCGTAGGCCAGGAGGCCGAGCGGTAACCCGATGGCGTGCAGCGCGTCTGGGCTGAGTGGCTGGCCCAGCACCCAGTGCACCATAGGTAATGTGAGGCCCAGGTCCTGAGCACTACGCAGCACTGCTGCTGCACACTGCGGGTCGGCTCCGAACAGTACCACCGACACCGGCGAGGGCTGGTTCTGTCTGAAGTGTCGGGACAGGAAGTCGTGGATCTGAGTGTCGTCGTGTGCCGACTGTGTCAGGTTGAGGATGGCACGCAGGTGCCAGGTGGCCCCACCCCCGCTGTCCCATGATGCCATCTGACCATCCAGGAGCCGCAGGAGACCCTGAGACTCCTCCCAGCCCCGACACAGAACTGCAGTACCCTCCCTCCAACCAGACCGCTGCAGAACTGTCAGCAGCAGGTCGGACAGACCGGACTCGGGAATTCCTGTCACCATCTGCAGGTGGAACCGGTTCTAAACAGAACCAGGAAATAGAGCCAGGAGAACCAGGAGGAGAATCAGGACAACAAAAGTTAGAACGTGACAGAGTGGATCAAAACTCAAACAGAAAAATAAATAATCAATCAAAACATGAGATACTTCAGATCAGATCATAAATAAATAAATCACTGATAATTACAATCTCTCTGCCGTCTGGAGAACAAATCTGTGTCTTGAGAGTACTGTTCCACAAACCAACAAAGAACCAGCAGAGAACCAACAGAGAAGCAGATGGAAACCAACAGAGAACCAACACAAAACCAACACCGAACCAGAACAGAACCAGCAGGAAATCAATGCAGAACCAACAGAGAACCAGAAGGAAACCAACACAGAACCAACACAGAACCAACACCGAACCAGAACAGAACCAGCAGGAAATCAACGCAGAACCAACAGAGAACCAGAAGGAAACCAACAGAGAACCAACATAGAACCAACACCGAACCAGAACAGAACCAGCAGAAAATCAACTCAGAACCAACAGAGAACCAGAAGGAAACCAACAGAGAACGAAAAGGAAACCAATAGAGAACCAACACAGAACCAACAGAAAACCAACAGAGAACCAACAGAGAACCAACAGGGAATCAGCACGGAATCAACACAGAGAACCAACACAGATCCAACATAGAACCAACAGAGAACCAGCAGGGAACCAACACAGAACCAACACAGACCCAACACAGAACCAATAGAGAGACTGAACTTCATCAAAGACATAAAGACACAAAATATTTTATGTTTCATCCAGTCCACAGAATCAAATGGAGAGAAAACAGATGTCCTGATAAAGTCATTGATTTGAGATCAGGAATGTTTACAGGCAGCATGTTAACGAGGTCAAACACTGATCCGCAGTCAGCGGCAGTCTGAAGGTCACACTGAAGTCTGCTGTTGGTTTCATTCAGTCTGTAATCAGTTCATTCTCTCAACGCTCGATTCATGCCACCGCTTCTCTCTGCAGAGCGACCATCAGCCAAACTCCACCTGACACACTGCTAACAGGCTGCACACACAGGAGACCCAACTTACATTACACCTCCTCCTCCTCCTCCCCCCGGCAGAGTGCAGACAGAGAAATAGATCTGTTTCTGTCTGATCTGATTGGAGGAGCACTGACAGCATCAATCAACCTAACCTACCTGATCCTGATCACTTTCAGTCCGCCAGTTGTAGAAACCTACTTAACTTTATCTCACTTTATTTCACTATACTGCACTTTATTTCACTATACTGCACGTTACTTTATTTCACTATACTGCACTTTATTTCACTATACTGCACTTTATTTCACTGCACTTTACTTTATTTCACTATACTGCACTTTACTGTATTTCACTATACTGCACTTTATTTCACTATACTGCACTTTAACAAAACTTTAATAATAATAATAATACATTTTATTTAAAAGCGATTTTCTAAATACTCAAAAACACTGTACATACAAGAACGTCAATCAGCAAAACAAAACTAATGTAAATTTAGATATATA